TTCCCAGAAAACAAATATATGTCAGTATCTGCATATGTGTACATGTCATGGGGGGAAAACACAAACAATAAAAATAGTTAACAGACTTGAGTCCATGGAAAGCTGGCTGGCAAGCCAAAACTGAGAAAGTACTTTTTTTCAAAGTTCTTCAATTTAAGCCAAATACTTAACATGTTGGTTAGAAGAACTAAGTCATTTGATATAATCAAGTGTCAACATAAAGTACTAGCAATTATACATAAGGTATCTGGAGAAACCTGAGCCCTAAACGTTCCCAACTTTTTACCCATACCCTTTTGACTGCTGGCTGAAAGCAGTCTGCATCTCTGGAATTTCCATCAATGCTGCTGGGCTCACCATTTTGTTCATTTTGTGCTTCTCTAAAAACAAGAAAAAGAAATTGATGTTAAAAACTACAGAACAAAAACACAACTCATTCTTTCTTGAAAAGCTCAGTCACTGCACCTTGCATGTATACTTAACTGTTTCCTGAGACCTGCTGCTAGGACCATGGCACTGTGATGGTTAAATCTCTTGATGATGGCAGCATTACTATTCTCCTTTATGGATTTAGAATTAGAAGTAGATGGCACAGAGGATATGCCATAGCCCTACAAGAAACAATTTAGTAGATTAAAAAATCAAAATAAAGTTCTAATTTTCTCATCTGTTCCATGTTAAGCTGAAAAAAATTTCTGTATGATGGGGCTTTATTAATTCTGAACACTTCTAAATATTTATAGGTAAACATTTAAAAGTAAGTGACAATATACACATAAAAAATTAAGAAATACCACTAACTCCTTTACCACCAACAAAATCTTAACCTGAGCTTGCACTTTTAAAGAGCAATTTTGGTCTTAGTTGGCAAGATACTAAGTAACGAAATACAGTGGAAAAAAGCACAGATTTTTGAAGTCAGATAGCTATGAAATAAAATTCTGACTTTATCACTTTTTCAATGTTTGTCTAGGTAAGCTCTATAAAATGGGATATTTGGAGATAAATGTTATAAAAAAAAAAGAGGGTGAGATAATGTAGTAACTGGATTGGGAAGAGGAGCTATTTTAGATAGGGAGGTTAGAAAAAGTCTCTCTGGAAAAATGACGTTAGAATAGATATCTGAAAGATGGGTAGAAGCTAGTAAAGTAGAAGAGCAGGAAGAAGGAACAACAGATGTAAAGACCCTGGGGTAGAAAAAGCTTGGGATAGATCTGAAGGTCATTATGTCTGGAGCATGAATGAGGAACTAGCCCAAATTGAAAAAGTAGTAGTAGGTAGAGGCCAAATCAAGAAAGGCCTTATAGGAGTTTTGGTTTTATTCTATGTTCAATAAAAAGAAATTGAGGAGTTTTACATAGTGGAACATTATAAATTAATTTATAATTCTTATTCCTAGGAGAGTATGATCTATGACAACAAAAGTGGCAATAGGAAGATCAATTAAAAGGCTAATGCAAGCAATGAAGCCAGAGATGGTGGTAGTCTACAGCAAGAGGGTGTTAAGTATCTGTGGAGATAAAGAGATGTAGACAGATCAGAGATGTATTGTAGAGGACTTGTTGACACAAAATGAATGTTGACGATAAAGGATGGGGGGAGGGGGATCAAGGAGACCCTTAGGTCTTGGCTTGAGCAAGTGGGTCCATGGTATGTTCTTTAATTGAGATAGGGAAGACCCAGGAAGAGATGGTTTATGATGATGGGAATCAAAAGCTCCATTTTGGACATGTTACATTCAGATGTCTGTGAAATATCTAAGTGAAGATATCAAGTAGCCAGTAGGATATATGATTTTGGAGTTCTGGGATTGACAGGCCAGTACTATTTGGGATTCATCATTACATATTTAGTATTTCAAGCAAAGGCATGTAGAGAATGTATTCAGGAGGAGGCCCAAAGACAATATCCTGGGACAGTAACAACTAGAGGATGACAGGGAAAGAAGAGGCACCAATGAAAAAAGGAATCAACCAACATTTCTTTCTTTTTAAAAAAATGGTTTTATTGATTTCAGAGAGGAAGGGAAGGGAGAGGGAGAGATAGAAACATCAATGATGAGAGAAAATCACTGACTGGCTGGCTCTTGCACACCCCACACTGGAGATTGAGCCCTCAACCTGGGCATGTGCCCTGACCGGGAATCGAACCATGACCTCCTGGTTCATAGGTCGACACTCAATCACTGAGCCACTCTTGCTGGGCAACCAACATTTCTATTAAGATTATACATCCATACAATGAAATATTATGCAGGCACTAAAAAAATGTAGATAACAACACCTATGACTTATTGAACACGTACTTTGTACTAGGATCTCTTAAGTCTTGTAGCAATCCTATCAGGCCAGTTCTTCCCATCCCTGCCTGCATTTTAAAAACTGAAATACTGTGTAAGTTTAAGGAGTACGATGTATTGATTTTATTTGAATATGTAATATGATTGCTATGAGGTTAACATCTCTGTCATTGTTACATAATTATCATTTCTTTGTTTGTGGTGAGGACATTTAAGAACTTATTTATCTACTAGTTTCAAGTTTGTACCCTTAAACAACACCTCCCTAATTATCTATGGTCAGTACTATTAACCTCATTTTATAAGAAAACTGGACTTAGAAGTGTTAAAAAAAGACAGTCTGATCCATGTAATGTTTTCTAAATATATTCTTATTGATTTCAGAGAGGAAGAGAGAAACATCAATGATGAGAGAGAATCATTGATCGGCTGCTTCCTGCATGCTGCTAGTGGAGATCGAGCTGCAACCCAGGCATGTGCCGACTGGGAATCAAACCCGGGACCTCTTGGTCCATGGGACAACGTTCAATCCATTGAGGCACCACAGCCAAGTGCTAATTTGGTTTTAAAGTGTATGAACTTAATGATTATGGTATATTTAGCTTAGGCTGATATTGGTAATAGGCAAAGTGAAGAAGTTACACATATGCATGTAAAAATATACCATCTTTTCATTAAAAAAAAAAAGCCCTAAAATGTCTTTTCTCATCACATTAAGTAAGCTGTAATCTCTAAGCTTCCCTAAATTTCATTTTGTCAGGATGATTAAGAGGGTCCTATTTGTAATCTGTTGAGAATCAACAAGGAAGTGACTGAGTGCTGAGAATCACCAAAAAAAAGCTGAATTTCATTATGGAAAAGATTCACATGCGCACCAAAAATTATATTCTATTAATATGTAATTTAGACTATAGGACAAAATTTTAACATTGTTTTTCTCAATTGATGAGTGAATACACTAACTTAAAATTAGAGGAAAAGTTAGGAAAAAAAAAAAAAGGTAGGTGGGAGCATGTATATATAGCCAGCAGAAAAGAAGCCAAAAAATGGGCAAGAAAATTACAATATAAGAATGTGAGAAGAATAACTGAGAAGGCAGTTTCCTCTTACTCCAGAAGATAGAGATAGGTAGCTTTGACTAGAAGATATAACCTCATTTTCTATAACTGGATAAGTATGCAAATCTAGAGTTATGATGCTAAGGTAGGTAGCTCATATTTGAAAGTGTGCCAGTTGAAACATATTAGGAATAGTGTGGGTACGGATCATGAGTTCATGGTGGGTAAATAATGAGCAATCAGCAAAAGCTTACCTTTTCCTTGTCTATTAATATTTATCCACATTACTAGAGACTGTTAGCTAGAGCATAAAGCCAGACTCATCAATATGTTAAGCTTTCATTAGTACCTAAAGTAGTGGTTCTCAACCTTCTGGCTCTTTAAATACAGTTCCTCATGTTGTGACCCAACCATAAAATTATTTTCATTGCTACTTTATAACTGTAATGTTGCTACTGTTATGAATCGTAATGTAAATAACTGATATGCAGGATGGTCTTAGAGGACCCCTGCGAAAGGGTTATTCGACCGCCAAAGGGGTCGCGACCCACAGGTTGAGAACCACTGACCTAGAGACTTGTTGACTGGAGAGCTAGAAAATTATTTTAAAAAGTTTTAGCAACTCATACAGGAATTTGTTTTCCGAGCAATTTTAATAGTGAACAGTACGACTGAAAAGCACTTCTGATAAATTCTCACAAGTAAAACATCCTCACGTAAGGCAATTTTAGAATTATAAAAATGTTGAAG